TCACATATATGTGGAATCTAAAGAACAAAATAAACAAATAAACAAAATTGTAACAGACTCAGGCACAGAGAGCACACTGGTGGTAGAGGGAAGGGCATTGGGGGACTGAGTGAAAGGTGGAGGGATTAAGAAATACGAATGGATAGTCATGGAATAGTCACAGGGGTGTGGAGAGTACACCATAAGAAACACAGTCAATAACACTGTACTTACTGTGTATAGCTCCAGATGGGTACTGGAAATAGTCAGGGGAACACTATGTAAAGTTTATGATTGTCTAAACACTGAGGGGTACACCTGCAACACTACAAAATAAAATGGAAAGAAAAGCTAAAACATAAATAAAAAATAGAAGGAAGATGCTCATACTGCTTCAGAGCAGCAGCCCAAATATTAGTAGATTGGTACTGGTCCGCTTTCTGGTTCCTTCAAAGGTCTAATAGCACCCCCTCAAGACATGCGTCAGGGATGTATGATGACGGAAACAGCCAGTTTCTGTCCTGGTTCAAAGTGAGAATTTTGGGCTCGCCCAGTTAGGTCAGGTATTGTTTTGGAGGGCACTGTGAGGACAAGGAGGGCTCAGATTAACCTTACGTGTTTGCACTTGAGGGATCATCTAGGGCAGAACCAGACCCCTTGAAAGGGCTGCTGATACAAGGGTTCCTTCTGGGACAGGGATGGGAGATATTGGTGAGGCTGGGTGGCCACCTGAGGCCAACGCATTCTGGGCAAATGGAAGCAGTCAGGCCTGCTCAACGGACGTCATCGGATTTTCTGGTGTTTCCGGATTTGCCGTTTCCAGACGTTACCACCCTCCCCCTCCCCCTTTTCTTCTCAGCAACCTCATTGAAAGAAATGTTCAGTGGTTGTTTTCTGAAGTCAGATGGCATTTGCTGATGGCATTGACTGGAATTTAAGTCAGCTCCTTATAATTACTGAAGGAAAACCCCCATGATCTCTCTTTCCTACTCTCAAGCAAATGCTAATCAAAAAATGATATTTGATTAACCTTTTGAAACGTATTCCAACACGCCTCGAAGGACTAAATTGATCAATCAGAGAGAATCAATTGCTGGAGGTGATGACTCGTGAACCACTGTGATTCATTCTGCCAGTCGCTCAAGCTGCACCGTTAAGTCTGGGGGAGATGTACCGGGCACCTGGCACCAGAGCAGACCTTGAGCGGACCAGCACTCTCAACACGGCATATGCACGGCAGTTATTGGATGAACTAGAACCTACGTGTTGCTTCTTTTTAATTTGGAGTGAATTTTTATATTTTGTGTGGGCTTTATGGGGACATATATTATGTCCCTGATTATCCTTTCTCTTTGAATTCATTACTAGATGATGAAAAAATTCCTCTTTGTTTATTTTCTATTGTGGATCCATGATTAAAAAGGCAGGCACTTGATCTTGAGTGAAGATTGCAACAGATGGGAACCAGAAAGGATTCTACAATTACTCAGGAATAGTTACAGCCTCTCGCTGGGACAGTGGCATTGAGTTTGGGAGGGCCCAAAATTTAAAGAAACATAGAACCTATGAAGAAATCTGGAAGAATTATAACCATGATTACCTTGACATCAGAAAATCAAACCAATAAGGACGAGATGTGAGACCAGGACTAGTTCTTCTGGAAAGAAAAGATCAAGAGCTACATATAAAGGCTGTCTTCAAATATGCAGAGTTGGCTGTTACTCCAAGGATAGTGATGTGTCTTTTTTATGTACTCTGTGAATAAAATCAGGGAAAGTTGGTTTAAATGGTAACAGAAGAGATGGGGATTAAATGGGGAAAAGAAAATGTTCTGTTAGGAAATGCAAAGTGAACATTAACAAAATGTGTGGATTTCACTTCGACATCAGATTGAATAGTCTCCTCCATTGGTGGTCATCCAAAAAAGGTCCTTGTTCTCAAGATCCTGAGATTTTATTATTCTACCACCATTCATTTTTGTACTTTTAGAATGTCACTTTTATAATTAGATCTTCCTGGAAGCGGACTGTGTTCCATTATTGAATCATCTATACCTGCTCTGACAGTGAAGTAGCTATTTAAGAAAATGCTGTGTTCTAAGCAAATATTTTCAATTGCAGACTGAAGGTGATTTTTCTTATAGCTGCTAGGTGTATAGGGCTTTTTAATTTGCTTTCTCTTCATTTGCCATGTCTTGGTCTTTTAAGTCCTTGTTATAGCTGATATCTCCCTTACTAAGGCAGAAGAGAGCTTATTAAGAAGACCTCAAATTCTATAGGTTGGGGGCAGAGGAAGCTCTGAGCAGGGCCTGGTTTCTTTTGGCCTTCAGATATAGCCACCTATTGTGTGTTTGTATGACATGCCGTGACATCTAGAGCCAAATTTTTTCAATAAAATGAGTTGAATATTGTATTTGTCAAGTTTTAAAAATGAGCCCAGGCTGCTGTGGCTCAGTGGATTGAGTGCTAGCCTGTGAACCAAAGGGTGGCTGGTTTGATTCCCAGTCAGGGCACGTGCCTGCGTTGCAGACCAGGTCCCCAGTAGGGGGCACATGAGAGGCAACCACACCTACGTGTGTCTCTCCCTCTTTTTCTCCCTCCCTCCCCCTCTCTTTAAAAATAAATAAAGTCTTTAAAAAACTTTTTTTTTAGTTTTAAAAATGAATTAGTTTGGTTCCCAGTATACATTTATTCCCTCCATGACACCATTCACCTCAGCAATGAGTTTTATTGTTAAAAACAAAACAAAAACTCAAAATAAATCTTGATTCTAAATGTGATCTCTTACTGTGGATTGAGAAAACTTAGTCTCTTGTCACATAAAGATCAGACCATCTATCAATTTCTGAGAAGATCTAGCAAACCTCCGAGGTACCAAAGTAAATTTCTACATCTCCGGTGGCTCCCACTCTTTTAAACCTTTTAAAATCCATTGGAAGGTGAATGCTCATTTTAAATACACAGTTCGGAACTTAATTGAAAACAAGATCACCCTGCTCCCTAAGGTAGCCAACTCCCTCTCTGAATTGTTAAAATTCTGTTGTGATGCCAAAGACAATTGTAACTTGAGATGGTTATTTCTAAAGCTCTCGGACAAGCAAAGTGAAGAGTTTGCATGTGGATCTTTAACAAAGGTGCCAAGGACACACAGTGCGTGAAGGACAGTTTCTTCAGTCAGTGGTGCTGGGAAAACTGCCTGTCCCCATGCAGAAGGATGAAACTGGGCCCTTATCTCACTCCATGTGCAAAGATCAACTCCGAATGGATTAAACACTTAAGTGCAAGGCCTGAAACTGTAAAACTATTAGAAGAAAACAGAGGGAAAAAGCTCCTTGACATTGGGCTGGGTAATAGTATTTTGGCTGTGACTACAAAAGCAAAAATGTACAAATGGGATTGCCCCAAACTGAAAAACCTCCACACAGGAGAGGAAGCAATCAACAGTGAGAAGTCAGCCTGCGGAATGGAAGACAAATATTTGCAAAGCGTATGTCTGGCAAGGGGTTAATATCCAAACTATGCAAGGAACAGAAATAATGCAATAGCAAGAAAATAAATAACCTGATTTAAAAATGGGCAAAGGACTTCAATAGACATTTCTCCAGAGAAGTCAGGCAAGTGGCCAACAGGTATATGGAAAGATGCTCAACATCAGTCATCGTTAGGGAATTGCAAATCACAGCCGTCATGGGATTTCACCCCACACCTGTTAGAATGGCCACTATGGAAAGGATGAAAGACACACGTTGGTGAGGATGTAGAGAAACTGTTGGTGGGAATGTAAATTGTGGGAATGCAGCCACCATAGAAAACTGGGGGGGTTCCTCAAAGAGTTAAAAATAGAACTGCCATAGGATCCAGCAACCCTACTTCTGAGTATATTTCCAAAGGAAATGAAATCAGTGTCTTGAAGAGATATCTGCACTCCCAAGTTCATTGCGGCACTATTCGCAGTTTTCAAGACATCAAATCAATCTCTGTCCCTTGAAAAATGAACGGAAAAAGAAAACGTAACACACACACATACAACCGACTGTTATTCATTAATAAAACGTAAGGCGATCCTGTCGTTTGCCATATCGTGGATGACCCTGGAAGGCATGATGCTGAGTGAAATAAGCCAGGCGCAGAAAGACAACCCTGCGTGGTGTCAGTTGGATGCACCGTCTGAAAAAGTCAGACTCGTGCAGGCAGTAGGATGGTGGTTTCCAGGAGCAGGGGGGTGGGGAAACGGGGGGGGGGGGGGGTGTTGCTCAAAGCGTACGAAGTGCAGTTGTGAGATGAGTAAGTCTAGGGCTTGAATGTACAGCATGATGCCGGTGGTGATTCGTGCTGCACTGAAACTGGAAATTTGCTAAGAAAGTGTATTTCATGCTTTCATCACACACACACAGTGGTAACTCTGTGAGTCAATGTCAATTAGCTTGACTGTGGTAATCACTTCACTATACATACGTATCAATACATGTTGTACACCTTAAATGTGTAGAATTTTTATTGAAAAAGACAGAATTGGTCCCCTTCTCAATTTCTGTCTTTCCCCTTGCTTCATCCTCATTCTTCCCTACGTATCTCCTTTAATTCTCTATTATCATCATGTTTCTATGCTTGTGATATGGAACTGGGATGTAATTTTTAAAGTCAACTCTTCTACTGTTCTTAACATTTTTTTGACTTGTGAAAGAAGAACTGAATGTGTTCTTCAAAGAGTTATATACTTCCTTGACGTATTTTTCTCCCTGTGCTGTGTTTGTGACTCATATGAGGAATTAAATAAAGAACTTATCTTTCTTCTGTAATATAAATACATGTTGGTGGTGGTGTACACATTTCTTTGTTTCTCTGACGGGTGAAAGGTAATTTCAGAGATAAGATAGTTTTCTGGCTGGTAAGTATTTGTTCATCTGTTCAGAATTATAATCCTTTGTACACCCTGCCACCGAATTTCAGTGTCTGTGTGGAATGATTTGGTTGACCAAGTTCTGGGTTTTTTGTTTTTTTTCTGTCCCTCATTTCTTATAGATACATTTCATGTTGCTCTTCAGCCGACAAGGGAAATTACGGCTGCAGAAGTGGTACACGACTCTCTCGGACAGAGAAAGGAAGAAGATCACCCGGGAAATTGTTCAGCTTGTTCTGTCTCGAGGTCAGAGGACAAGCAGTTTCATTGACTGGAAGGAGCTGAAACTTGTTTATAAAAGGTGTGAGTAACTTTATGAGAACTGAGTTTCTCCTGACTGCTTTGCTTTGTTTAATACTGAACATTTTAGGTTGCAACACCAGTGTCATCATTACTGAACTCTTTGAAACTGGGGGCCAAATATCTGTACCAGTAGACTGACTAGGAATGAACTCTCATGTATCAAAAGGCCTTCCGTGTGCCTGGATGGATTCTAGGTACCTAATCCGCAGGTGGCTAATGCACGCCTGCCTCCGAGAAGTATCTTGTAAGTGCCAGCTCTGTTCCCAACACTGTTCCAGTGGCTGCGGGTACAGGAGTCAACAGGGCAGGGGACATTCCTGCCCTCATGGCGCATAATCATTTGTTAAGGAAACAATATATTTTCAGTTTGTAGTAAATACTATAGGAAAAATGTAGATGAACGGGATGCAGAGTCGGGCAGCTCTCTTTATTGTCACTATCACTCATGTTTACCGATGAAGAAATTGAAGCCGCAGGGAGTTTCAGTAATTAGTCCCCAATCACAGGAACTGAGTGGTAATTGGCAGAGTCAGAATCCAAATTCAGATCTTCCTGGCTTTAAAGCCTATATATTCTCTCTTCACTGTACCTGCCTGCATGGGAAGATCACACTGGAAAGAAACCTCAGTTTATAGATGAGAAAACTGAGCCCTCAAGAGATAAGTAATTTCGCCCATAAAGACCTAGATAACTTGATGGTTAGGCCAGGACCAGAGCACAGCTGACTTGACCTGGCATCCAGCCTCCTCTGGCAGCTCCCAGAAAAAAAACACACACATCAGAGAGGCTCTTGCAAGTGCTGTTTGTACGACCTGAAGGGGAAAGACAGAAATAACCTTTGCAAACTACATTTAATGGATTAAATTACCAGGAAGTGCCCGGGGCAAAATTCCTGAGGCTGGATCCAAAGTCAAAATCTTTAGTACTTGCCATCAACAAGCTTGTCTTTTTCCTTTTCTTTTTTTTTTTTTTTAAGATTTTATTTATTTATCTTTAGAGGGGAAGGGAAGGAGAGAGGGAGAGAAATATCAATGTATGGTTGCCCCTTGTGAGTCCCCTGATGGGAACTGGCCTGCAACCCAGGCATGTGCCCTGACTGGGAATCGAACCGTGGTTGCTTGGTTCCCAGGCCCGCGCTCAATCCACTGAGCTACACCAGCCAGGGCTTTTTTTTTTTTTTTAAGATTTTATTTATATATCTTTAGAGGGGAAGGAGAGAAGGAGAGAAACATCAATGTGTGGTTGCCTTTCATGCATCCCCTGCTGGGAACTGGCCTGCGAGGAACCAGCCTGCAACCCAGGCATGTGGCCTGATTGGGAATTGAACTGCGATTCTCTGGTTCGCAGCAGACCTGTGCTTAATCCACTGAGCTGTACCAGCCAGGGCTTGTCTCTTTTCTTTGCCTGCTGGTTTTCTATAACTTCGGGTTCAATTGTATTTTAAGATTTTATTTATTTATTTTTAGATATAGGAGAAGGAAAGGAGAAAGAGAGACAGACATGTGCCCTGACTGGGAATTGAACCAGCAACCTTTTGGTTCACAGGCCTGTGATCAATCCACTGAGCTACACCAGCCAGGGCCTGTATTTTAAATCACTGTGTAAAGAACAAGCTTCAGTGGTTCTCTGAACAAATAGTACAGTGCTGGGTATGCAACAGTGAACCAGGCAGACTCAGTACCTGCCTTTGGGAAGCTGCTGCTCTGGTGGGGGCAGGCAGGGGATGAAGTAGGACAACGAAGAGACCAGATACTCTGAGCAGGGGGTGGGTGGGCCGCGGGGTGCTCAGCAGGGGCGTTCAATCCCATCAGAGAAGATAGACATTTCCTGGAGGAAATGACATCAAGCTCAGAGGATGAAGAACAAGCTAGCCCCACGAATGGGGTAGGGATAGTATTTTAGGCGAAAGGAAACAGCAGGAGAAACACGCAGAGGAAGCACGTGGGACCTACCAGTCCTAGGGTGGGGTCGCACAGAACGGCTGCGGGGGGGGGGGGGGGGGGGGCGGGCGGGTGCGGCCCTCGGCCAGGTGTTGGGAGTCTACAAAGGGCAATTCACACGCCAGGAAGGGGCGTGAACAAGACACCCTTGTGAACCCAGACCAAAGGACTCTGTGCCCCTGAAAATGGCTCCTCAAAGTCAAATTTTGTTGGGGACTTTCACACAGTTAACAGAAGCAAACCAGGCACCCCGGTATTTCCATGTATTCTAGTTCACGTTTTGGGAGGACTTCCAATGTGATGTGCAGTGATTCCATCCCTGGGCTTGGGTGGGCGGTGCTCTGGAGTGCGGGTGGTAATGTGCCTTCACTGGGGAAGCCATCTTCAGGCTGTGTAATGGGTCATTGTATTTTACTTTATTATTTTCTTTCTTTTCCAGGTATGCTAGTTTATATTTTTGCTGTGCAGTGGAAAATCAGGACAATGAGCTCCTGACACTAGAGATTGTACATCGTTATGTGGAGTTGCTGGACAAATACTTCGGAAACGTAAGTTGTTCTGGTCCCTCGGAATCCTCGGGTCTCTGTTTCTGCTTCCACTTCAGTCTGTCCTTCATCGGATTCGTTCCCTCCCTCAAGTGTAAAAGATGAATTGCGTTTGGGCCAGGAACCAGAACACAGGGCTCTCCCCGCTTCCTGTAACTCTGACATGATCCATGTAGAGTTTTCCAGAGGCAGGGGTGTCCCTGTCTTCAGACCACAATGCTAGAGACCTCGTTAAATGCACGAGAATGTAATTCCTTCTTTGTCATTGACTGTCACCTCTCTTTTAGTTGACTTCTTCTTATCCCCTCTCTGGCTTCTTGTACTAAGTTACACATATTATTTAATATTACTCATACATAAGAACAAACACACACCAACAAAATAAGCAAAAATGAAACCCCTTTCTTTCACATTGCTGTTTAATCTCCTTGCCTCTCTACTCACAAGTAATACGTTACAGGAGGAGGCCCAAGCCTCTGAACTCATTCGCTTTGCAGCAGCTTACCGCTTAGGTTCCCCTTTGCTGCTACAAGGAAGTCAGTTCCCACTGGCCCCTTCCCAGGGGCCAACACTTGCTCATTGCGATTCTTTTTTAAATTTGCCCCTTTTTATTTTGTCACGACACCGAATTCTGTTGATTGCTAGGTTTGTGAAGCCCCCTCCTGGTTTCTTCCACTGAGGCCCCCTCCCTCTCTCTGCCTGCTTTCTACGTGCCCAGTTGCTCTTCCTACTCTCGTGTGTCTGCTTGTACGTTTTCTCTCCCGGAAACCTGTTACTAGGCAACTCCTCCTCGCTGTGCTGAAGATGCTCTTTGCTGGGGCTCTTACAGTCATCTTAGTCTTTTCCGCGGCAAGAACCAGACTCCTCTTCTGCTTTGTGACTGCATTTATTGTGCCCCAGGATCCTTTCATCTTTCTCCAACCTTTACTAAATCTACCTCTGTCTACTCAAATTGGACTAAAATTCCTCTCCTTCTTTCCTGTCATTAGTCTCAGTTTACTGGTGGTTACAAGTTGGCTTCTTTTTTTTAAACCTCGCCTCTGGCCCTCGCCTGGCCTGTTGGTACCATCTTTCCTTGCAAAACACAGATGCAGGACAACATTCCCTCTCAGCCACTCTTCATCAGTAATGAATAAAATCCCATCTTCTCAGCCCCAGCCTGGTGCTTCAGCTTTCCAAACACTGGTCCTAGACCACTTTTCAAATCCCTGGCACATCCGGTGCTCTGGTGACATGGGCCGGCCTGGTGTCATCCTTAACTTGTACAGGTTTGTAAGACCACCAAACTACAGGTGTCTCCAGACCATGACCTATGACCTATTTGTTTCCTTTTTCAGCACTTGTAACCATCTCTGGCCCAGATGTTAGCAAATGTTTCAGAAACAATTTAGTGCACACTGAGTAAATAAATCATTGAATTTGGAAAATGTTTTCTTCTTAGCAATACTCTGCCATATTCCCTTGCTTCCTGAAGTTTTTATTAAGTATAGTTAGGAGAATTTACTTTCAGAAGAGTTGTCCGTATTGCATGGACAGCATTTGCAGTATTGGCTGGTATTCTATCAGATTTGTGGTAATGTTGTTTTACAGCATGAGCACTTGAAAGGTTTCTGAAAGAATTTTTCTACTGTCTCATATTCCCTCTTCTTTATCCCCCCCTTTCTTTCCTTTGAAAATTATGATAAGATCTAAAATGTTGCTTTAGGGAGGGAATGTTGCTTTGGGTTGTTGGTCAGTGTGTAAAAGTAATAAGACAGCTAGATCACTTTTCTTTCTTTTGCTCTTGGTTCACTAAGTTCACTTACATTTTTAAAAGAGAGATTTGCAAAGAAATAGAAGTATATTGTTATATTGGATTAGTTAATGTTATGCTTTCTGTCATTCAAATGAATTCTGACATTTAGGTGCTTTCTTTTGAACAGCACTCCAGGCGTGGCCTTTTCTAGAGGCTCACGGTCTTCCAGAGGCCTAGGTTTTCCAAGGACTTCCCTTCCCCTTCCTCTCTGCTTCTACACTCTGGTTTGACTAGTCGTGTTTTTCTGGATTAATCCAAATATGATCACTCAAATGGGGCTGGGTGTTGATCTTGATCTTATCTGACCAAATTTTGGCTATTTCAGCACAGGCGCCTTTCTCAAGGGAGTCTGAATCCCCATCACTGATGCTAGGCTCATTGAAAGCACAAGGAGAGACAGAATGAATTCTGATTTCTCGAACATCAATTTTTCATCCTATTTTGGCATATACCTTTAGAAGCTCTGTCTTTGTCAGGAGCCAAAATTTAATTCACTAAAAAATTCAATGAATGTTTCATTAAGCTAGGAGCAGCTAAGAGCAATTCAAGGCTATCTGCCCAGTAGGCGTTCAATTCTTATTAATTAACAGTGATGAGCAAAGCGCGGTGATTTTCATTGCCATCATCTCAGAAATATTTCTTTGGTTTAATTTTCCTCTTGTGTTAATACAAAAGGAAGTTTCTTTGAATTCTGCTCTCATATTATCGAAGGGAAAACTTTGCACTGAGCTTCCCTTTTATAAAGGACTGGAAAAATATTACCTTTTTTTTTTCTTTAAATATTACCTTCTGATGACAGGTACCTCAAACTCTCTGGCTGCGAATTTACGAGTTTTTTTTTTTTTTTTAGTGCTTTTCAATTCCAAGGAGATTTACAAGGATTCCCTAGTTATAATCTTTCCATCTGCAGTAAGTAGCATTAACCCCAATGTATAGAGGCTAAGTGGAAATGCCTCGGAGTCTCACAGTAGATCTGTCCCAGGGTTTGGACACCTGCCCTATTTCCCCATGAAAAACGAGTGTTTGCTGATGTGCTCCGCGGGCGTGGACGCTGGGGTCTCAGGGAACTCGGATCTGGATGGGGGGTTTCCTGTTGTGGGAAGAGGCGCACCCGGAGCCTGCTGGATCCTGGTGTCAGTGTGCTCGCGAGCAAGACCCAGAGTTTGGCCCATCACATATCTCTGTTTTACAGATAGAAAAAAATGACACTCTAAAAGGTTAACAGAAATACTTATATACTTTGCTAACCCCATGGTGCTATTGTGAGGGTCAGTGACACAGTGTAGCTAACAGGACTTTGAAAACTGTCGATTGCTATATAGTTAGACCTTGTATTGTAATGATTGGAGGTATAGTTTCATACATTTCTTGTATAGAACTTGATACATTTTGTATTTACTTTAGAAGAGAATCCAGGAGGGGAAGGTCCTTCTTGACTCTATCCAAAAGGATTTAGTTATTGAATATCGGAAATATTCTTACTATGTCACATACTCTGATCTCTCTAAGAGAAGAGCCTTAAACCAAATTATAGTGAAGCACAGGCTTGGAGATCAAAGATCAAACGAAATTATCACCATTTCTGCCTTTGATAAGCTTTCTGCCAGAATATAGATACACAAGAAAATGACTTAAAAAAAAAAAAAGGTGCTCATGTGCTAATTAACACAGAAGCCATGTGTTTTTGCATAATTAGAAGGAATGAAGTTCTCTGAGCATCTGCTGCACCGAGGCAGTGCTTCGGTGGAATTCCGAGTATTTGAGTAATTACGCAGTAGCTGAAGAACCTGCACTTATTTAGGCCAAGGTGCTCCTGAAATGTTGTCTCTTTTTATTCTGCAATACAATAATCCCTTGGGGTTACACTCAAGAAGTAGCCGTAGAGTAGCATTTGGGGGCTGCTGTGTATAAATAGCTGCCCATTGGTAACATTCTCATGCCAATAGAACCTGTGCATCCATTTCTTTTACGACTTAGAGACAGAAACTGTGTGTTCAAGTTGTGTGTGCATACAGAGTGCATCTGAGTGTTTTGTGTGCGTTTGCCTTTGCACACCACCTTACCTTACCCATTCCCCTTGAACTGAGCAGTGCAGGACATTAATTGCCCCATGGCTGCCGGGGAGCCCTCCAGGCTTGAGTATGGGGACTCTGAGAGTGGGGTAAGATACGTTCTCAGAGAACTTGTGTTGGTGTCTGTCAGGTTCACTTTGCAGAATTCTGGCTGCTGGTTTCTCCTAATGAGGCTCCTGTCTGTCTTGGATCCCTGGCCTACACCTGCCTTGAACTCTGAGGTTCCTCGGCTCTTGCCACTGTAACTCCTGACTTCCTGCTTCTCCCGACCTGTGGTAACTGCTTATTTCTCCTACTTTTCTTTCCTGTGTGTGATGTCTGTGCTTTGTTTATCTAGATTGTTTAACATTGAGAAGTAATACGTATTTTCACCTATCCTTCTAGACATATGCTTGTAAAAATAAAAATGGCATTGTATTTTGCATATTACTCTACAACTTGATTTTCTTCTTATAAGTCTGTCTTGGAGCTCTTTCCATGTGTCCATGAACCCTACCTCATTTCTTCCAATTTCTACACAGAATTCCCATGGTATACCAGTCCATATTCAAGCAGGGGGATAGCATACACTATTTAAGCAATTTCTTTATGGATGGACTTTGGGTTGTTTCCAGTTTTGAAACAAAATATTTTATTTATTTATTTTTAGACAGAGGGGAAGGGAAGAAACATCAATGTGTGGTTGCCTCTCATGCAGCCCCACCAGGGACCTAGCCCACGGCCCAGGCATGTGCCCTGATAGGGAATTGAACCAGCAACCCTTTGGTTTGCAGGCTGGTGCTCAACCCACTGAGCCACACCATCCAGGGCTCCAGTTTCTATTATAAATGAGGCTTCTATAATTTTTGTTCTTCACATATATATTATTGTGTACTAGTTTAAGTATAGCATAGAAATAAGTTTTTTGTGAAATTGTTGGGTGAAACGATTTGTACATTTACAACTGATACATACTGTAGTTTGACCCCCCCCAAAATGTCATATAAAATTCAAATCCCACTAACAGTGCGTGTGAATACCTGTATATCCATAGTCTCACCAGCAATGGTTCTTCTTAATTATTAGATGAAAACTAATGTAATCTGCATTTCTCTGATTATTAGTGAGGCTGTGCATCTTACGTGTGTTGGCCTTTTTCATTTCTTGCCTTGTCTATGAATAGCTCCTCAACAGCTGGGTTTTTGTTGTTGTATTGTCTTCTGTTGTGATGCTTATCGTAGGGATTTGAGAGAATCCTTTCTATATCATGGGTAGTATTCTTTCCCCTGTTACCTGTGTTGCAAATATTATCCCCAGTCTGTTGCCGTACTTTTCTTTAATTTTTTTTAATTTTTACTTTTTTATTGTTAAGTACAGTTGTCTCCATTTTCCCACCGCCCCTTCCCCCTCCATATCCGTCCCCTTTGCTGTATTTTTAACCTTGTTTATAGTCCCGGGCCCATGATGTACTCTGATCTTTCCATATATTTTTTTTCGGGCAATTAGGTTATACTGTCATTCAAATACCTGGAATGAGTGTGCTCTGGAAGTAAAAGATAGTGTTCATTAGCTGAGAATGTGTGCTTTCATTATGGCTTCCTCGCTCTGATAGTTGTTCTTAAGAGGGAACCCTAAAGGTCTGAATAAACTATTATCTTAAATTGGTGTGTGTGTATTTGTACATATATATACGTGTAGATTATATATATCATGTATGTATTCATATGTATCTGTGTGGAGAGAGGGAGAGAGCCTCTCAAGGGAGGGGAGAGGTAGGCATAGAAATACTTCATGCGCACACTGATTTGGTGCTTTTTTTTCAGTGAATGAAGAGACCATAACCTTGGAAAATGAGCTTTTCCGAGTTGCCCATTCATTATAGTAGTATGACATTCATTTGTACTTATGCTTCTAGATTCAATTGGAGCTGTCAACGTAAAACCATTTTCCCTGTGGAATCTCACTCTTGAGTAGATGGAGCACTTTGCTAATAGACATCCATTTTGTGTAAAGTCACAAGACTCAGTGGTACCAGAGAACTGTTGATCTCAGGAGCCATTAATCCCCAGCATTGCAGGATCTGGGGCTGCACGGTGGCCGACCCCTATCCTGCAGTCACTCACTGTCTTCTTCCATGCACCAGGTTTCAGGGATATAAGGACGACCAAGACCGGGCCTGTGCCTGCCCTCACTCTCCTGGGGGAGAGACTGATAAGGAGGGTGATACTAGAACCCACAATGGATGAAAGGAAAGAGGATTTGGGGGAAGCACGGTGCTTCTGACCTTTGACTTTGGCCTTGAAAAATGAGCTTGATTTTGCCAGAGGAATAAAGGAAAGAACATTTACAGAACATTCCAGGAGTTGCTGGAACGCAAAGGGCCAAGGCATGAAAGGACACAGTGAGTCTGTGGAATGTGTGTCTGTAGTTTAAGGAGTGAGGACTATCGCGGGGAGCAGAGAGCAGGGCCCCGGGTGGGTCACAGAGACTCCTGTGAGCCGCGAGGAGGGACTCACACTTTGACTGAAATATGAAACCCTGCACAGAGGAGGAGCAAGATCAGCATTTCAGGAAAGTGTTGGTCGCCTTTAACCTTAAGCAGGCACAGATGCCACCTAGGAGGTCACTGGGGCAGGCCTGAGCAGTGTCTGCGACAATGAAGAAATAGGGAGGGGCTTATTTACACAGTCGAATCAATAGGAATTGGTGACCAATTTGAAAGGCACGATGCCAAGGGCGGGAGAGGAATGAGAGAGAGCAGGGAAAATACATCGAACTGTAGAGTGCATTAGAATGGGCTGCTAAATCGAGGGTGTACTTCCTGTGGAAAAGAGGGACCAGAGGAAAAAAAGTGCCTGCATTCGGTTTGGGACGTGGTGACTTGGACTGAGCGATGTCCAGGCAGGGATGTTTAGTTAGCAGGTGAACATGTCGGACTAGGCATCTAGGTTTGCTAAGCCACTTGCCTGCTAGACAATGAGACTGACAATAATGTTGTCGATAAGATTGTCGATGTAGGGAGCCCTTGTCTAGGAGAATACATGAATTACAAGGAGAATATGGGTCTAGGAGAATATAAGTATAATCCATTCTCACTAGAAACGCCAATATTCAGACGAAGTTGTATGGCTAGATGTAGGCAGCATGGAGCAGAGGTGTCGTTCTGCTAACTGATGTGTCCCAAGCACTCCATAAATACTTCTTTTGTAAAAAAAAACAAAACAAAAAACATTTTATATTAGTTGACATACACTATTATGTCAGTTATTATATTAGTTGCAGGTTTACAAGGTAGTGATTAGACATGTATATACCTTATGAGGTGACCTCCCCAATAAGTCTAGTACCTATGTGAAATATTTCTTCAGCAAATGTAAGGTGGGGTGAAGAAATGCCATTCAAGGAGCCTGAAGAAGGATCATGAGAGATGGAAGGAGGGGACAGGCATCGAATGGGACTGCCAGGGCCAGAGAGCAGGGGAGGAATTTTCAAGGGAGTGATTCAGCAATGCTCCAGTGAGGGTGCCTTTGGGCGTGGGGGTCAGAGAGCTTGCAGTCAGCAGACCTTCCAGAGGGGGCGGGAATGGAGGGCTGCATCCACGACTGTGACTTGGTGAGGGCTCTGTGGGAAGGAAGCAGCAGGGGGAGAGCCTGAGTGGCCGTCTGGCTAAAGAACTGGAGATGAGCCTTATTTGGGTTATGGGAGGTAGATGTGCCACTTGCTTCACTTGGCACAGTCTGCCTGACTCTGCTGTGGCCCATGACAGTGACCATGGTTCTCGACTTGTCCAGCATCACTGATATCATCCAGGAACCAGTTTGAAGTTCACACTTGCAGGATTTTTGTTTTCCTCTTTTTATTAATTATTTTTATTGTATTTTTTATTACATTTAGTCCCCTTCTACTCCTCACCCTTCCCCTACTATCAGCACACTGTTATCCATGAGTCCTTTTTCCTTTCTGTTTAATCCTTCCATCCCTAACCTCCCTGCCCTTAGCTGTCATCCTGCTCTCTCTGTCTGTGAGTCTGTCCCCATTTTTCTTGTTAGTTCAGTCTGTTCATTGGATTCCACAAAAGAGTGAAATCATATGGTATTTGTCTTTCTCTGACAAAGTCTGTTGGGGAACAGTATGGATGTTCCCCAGGTCCATCCATACTGTTGCAAAGGATAAAAGTTTTTACTTTTTTATGGATGAGTAGTATTCCATTGTGTAAATATCCCACGGTTATTCTATCTGCTCATCTACTGGTGGGCACTTGGGCTGCTTCCATATCTTGGCGATTGTACATAACACTGCAGTGAACATGGGGGGTGCTTATGTTCTTTCCAGTTGGTGTTTTGGGTCTCTCCGGATATATTCCCAGAAGTGGGATCCGTCTTTAATTTTCTGAGGTGTCTCCACACTGTTTCCCACGGCGGCTGCACCAGCCTTCACGTCCACCACCTCTCAGGTGTCACCCAGACCCACAGAGTCAGAAACCCAGGCAGTGTGTGTTTTAATGAGTTTTCTGGGTGATTTGGACACATTCTGAAGTTTGAGAGCCACTGGCCTGTGACACAATTTTGAGAACAATTAGCACAACTGAGCTTCGAAGTATGGGTTTCTGAGGGTCCTAAAGCTGGGAGCCCAGACTCAGCAGGAGAAACAGGGTGCTGGCTTGCGCCTAAAATGTAGCGGGACTCAGCCTCATTTGTGCCAGTCTGAAAACGGGCTGAGGGGCCACACGCCTCCAAGAAATTCCTCTCAAATGTCTTGTCGTGATGTTAAATATGTAAGGACATGCTCTGCTTTAATAGAATGTGATTTTACTACTTTATGTATGTATGTGTGTATTTTTATTTATTTATTTTTAGAGAGAGGGATGGGAGGGAGAGAAACATCGTTGTGTGAGAGATACACTGATTGGTTGCCTCTCATACCTGCCTAAGTGAGGACCTGGCCTGCAGCCCAAGCGTGTGCCCTGACTAGGAATCAAACAGGCGACCTTTCAGTTTGCAGGCCGGTGATCAGTCCACTGAGCCACACCAGCCAGGGTGTATAACTTTTATTAAAGGCCTACAGTTCCCTAGTTCCCTATTTTCTGTCCTCAACATACTGTCCGATGTTTTTATCTTTGGTATGGCAATAACTTGAAGAAGCTTGAGATACTGGCAAATGTTTCTCACAACACCACTGCATGTTTATCAAAACATTTGTTGTTGTTGTTTTGTCCTCCCAGGTCTGTGAGCTGGATATTATCTTTAACTTTGAAAAGGCTTATTTTATCCTGGATGAGTTTATAATAGGTGGAGAAATTCAGGAAACATCCAAGAAATCAGCCGTCCAAGCCATTGAAGATTCTGATATGTTACAAGAGGTCAGTACTCAGTTTCTCATGCAGTGAGAAAAGATGATGATGACGATGATGATGATGATGATGATGATGATGATGATGTGGGGGTGGCTGTGATGGTGGTGCTGGTGATGGTGGTGATGGTGGTGCTGGTGATGGTGGTGCTGGTGGTGATGGTGGTGCTGGTGGTGGTGGTGGTGCTGGTGGTGATGGTGGTGCTGGTGGTGGTGGTGATGGTGGTGCTGGTGGTGATGGTGGTGGTACTGGTGATGGTGGTGGTACTGGTGATGGTGGTGGTAATGGTGATGCTGGTGGTGATGGTGGTGGTGCTGGTGATGGTGGTGCTGGTGGTGATGGTGGTAGTGCTGGTGCTGGTGGTGCTGGTGGTGATTATATATTAGCCAACCCTTATTGAGTGTTTATTCTGTGCTGGGTACAGTTTCTAAGCAACTGATGTATTCATTTAATTATCTCAGCGACTCTAAGAGGTAGGTAGTATTGTTACCCTCATTTTAAGGACGAGTAAACCAAGGCACAGGGAGGTTAAATGACCTGTGCAGAATCACATAGCTAGTAAATGTGGAATAAAGATTTGAACCCAGGCAGGTGGGCTCCAGAGTCTTTAAAGGTTTTCATGTTTGTTTGAGGTTTTTAGTGAGAATACTTCATTATCAAAAAGCCCTCAAATATGTGGTGATATTCTTTTCAAGAATAATTTTATGGGGGGTATAAAAAGACTTTCATTAAAATATCGGTGCTGCCTCAGGAAAGGAGAGTAGCAGTACATTGTTATTTCATTTGCCGGGGCTACTAGAGCTTTATTATTGAAGATGGCACTTATCATCTTCATTAAAGTTTCTTACACCTCCTCAGGAGGCTGTATGCGTGCTCTGATTTGCATAAGTAAATTGAGAACACTGCGGCTGGTTGTGCTCCTGGATTTCTGCGATGCTCATATAAAATGGAGAGGGGCTTTTCTTTGAGATGTATTCTGGATTTTCATTGTACCTAATAAAAGAATTTACCTACATTACTCCCCTCAGCTTTCCCAGGAATGCAGGGAGAAGTAATGCTTCTCCCACCTTCTTTTACCCTCCTAAATGAGGCGATCCCACCCAGCTCTGCCACCTCTCAGTTCTTCTTCCCGTGGCATCCTTGGGTCTTGCCATCTGCCTATTTTCATAACAGCAGGTTGAGAGATTCCAGAGTGTTATAAAGTATCTTTGAGAAATTGGCTTTAAAGCTGTTCTTCCTGCTGTGTGAAAGTAATAGACTGATTAACTTAATAAAACACCATGAGGTGTGGTTTGCCAGCAGCTGTGTCTGCCCATCTCGGAGCTGATTGCTTGTTCCTGCCCATCTAGAGAGCCAGTCTTCGAACACCGAGCAAGATGTCCGTTTGAGGGGTACCCATCAGCCTCTCCTGTGCCTGTCGGGAAGCTGATGCTTTTATTGTGCTCACCTCAAGAAATGCACATAAACTTTCTGATGTTTACTTGACTCTCTCCAAGTGCCACAGGAAGGGAATTCTACAAGGTATTTGAGAGAGCAGTGGTTTGGACATTCCACAGAACATTTGTTATAAAATATGCCAGGGGGTTGTTTGTAACTGTCCCCTGGGCCCTCACTGTGGGACCTCCTTATAGGAGAAACTTTAAGCAGGGGCTTTTAGCACTTTAGTAATTAAAGGTTCCTGCACTGGGGCCAAGTCACAGAGGAGTTATTTTGAATTCCCTCCTTGGCCGGAAAAGTTTTAAAGAACTTTCGGTGTATCTGGTTGGTAATTCTAGTTCCATTTAAATCTGGGAAGCAGGTATTTCAAGAGAGCGCCCTTTTACAATTAAATACTAATTGGTAGTTGAGATCCCTGGCGATTGAGTGGAAGGTCCTGGTTAGGTGGGTCTCAGGGGACCCTCCATTTACCCCTGTGTCCCCATAGTGAGCAGGCAATGCCATGATGGTTCTCTAAGTCTCACTGAATTAGCAGCACCAGCCAGATTGAAACAGCATTATCAGTATTCTGATACAGGCCTCTGGTACTAGAACTAAATCAATGAACATTTGGGGAGCTAGTTGAAAAACTGACTTGGTATGTGTGGTTTGCTTCATATGTCCAGAGAAGCTTCAAATGAATGAGCACAAGTAATATGATTGCATAAAGAAAAAAATTACTGGTTTCTTTTATTTCTGTCCTTTGGACCTAAGAACATATTTATAGTTACTAAAGGTTAAGGGAGGGCTTTATAAGATTGCTTTCACTTTTAGTCCAGCTGAAAACCTGTGAGCAACCCCTGGGACTTTCCCTTACCCCCTACCTAATAAATGGCTCTCTCCCCATATTTAGTAAGAAAACACCTGGTCTTGAGCCTCCAAATGCTGACAGCTTTGGGAGCACTAGGGCAAGATGTTGATAATATGGAGAGAAACAGTTTCATGGGTTGGGGATGACTTTAGGCTGTATCTTATTTTGGAGGTATCAACTGCAGAAGACAGGTACCAAGTGATTAGAAGGAAAGAGAAACTCTGAAAGAAGACAGTGACCTTGAATGGTAGAGGTTGCAATTCCTGAGGTCCCATCCAGTGCTGCAGTGTTTCTTGGTTACCACGAGAGCAACAAACAGAAGATGTTTTAACCACAGAGTGGGAAAGCATGTGTAGAAGGGAGGGCCGAGTGGTACCTTATTAGCTCCAGCAACAGGACACCTTGCATGCATGTGTGTAGTTTCATGGACAGGTGCATCCCCACACTGCCACCCTTAAAGCGAGACCGTGTTCACAGCCCAGCCACCCATAATGCAGTAAGAGGTCGTAGCATGCCCAGTCCTAAATGCCCAAGAAGCACTGCAGCGCTAGATGGGTAGCAGGAGAGCAGGAGGGATGGATCCCAGGATACGGACTCTAATCATCTTGTGAGAGGCCAGGGCAGAGCTCTTTACGGCTGTGCCAGCCTTCAACGTCTCTTCCGACCATTGAAGTAATTGGCTCAAGACAATACCAACCTCATGCATTATTGGTTCACATAGCACAGCTTAGGAAGGGCAGCCCATGTGGGCTTCAGCAGACTGAGTTAGCCAGTGGCAGGAAGAAGTGCCGGTAACTAGAGGCCAATGAACTGGGAAACCCGTGAGATGAGAACTCCAGGGCCTCCTGCTGGCCTAGGCCCCTTCCAAGGCTGCGGGCTCCTGTGCTCAAGTTCATATGGTACCTTAACTGAAAAGGACATGTAGCCAGGAAATGAATATAAAATATTATAGAGGTAGTGTTGGGCACTTAATGATTGAAAACCATACCTTAGTGTTTGGGATTTTGTGATATTTGTGATCTTTAAAAAATTTGTAACTTACTATCATTTTCCCCTCATTTTTAGTAAACTCGATGCCCAATTTTGTATTTGTTACTTGGTATTTTTTAAGTGGCATAAACTTTAGGTGCCACAAAAACAGGCATGGGCCTTTGGCCAATGTGATACCCTTGCTGAGTTGAAGGATGTGGGCAGCCTCTGTGACAGGAGACACAGGTCTTAGGGCGTCTCCTTGGCCAACAGTCGTCTATAATAGGAGGTGTTAGAGCTTGACAGGCAAGGGTGGAGGGCGGACTGCGGTATTTTCAGCAGGGGGACACTGGCATTCTGAACAGAGCTGGTGGAAACCAGTCAGAACACCTGGGTTGTAACCCTAGCCTCCTCTGAGCAGTCTTGCTTGGCCTTGGTCTGTTTGACCCATGCTGGTTGATTGTCTTCCTGGCAGGTGCCAGCGAATCCCACCCCCTGAGCTTCAGTCTTCAGGATGCACTGAACATCTCAGAATGAGCCGTCAGAGGCAGGGGTGTTACCTGGGGCTCTCCCCTTAATCTCCCTTACTGAATTAGTCCAGAGGCCACTGTACTGCACACCCCCCCATATTATAGGAAAGAGTGCAAAAGTCCATCCATCATGCATGGTAAAGGGCTTGCAACATCACCGTGACTTGGAACTCTGCCTGTAATTGGGAACCCACTCAAACATTCCAAAAACTGCTGGGGAAAAAAATTATGGTCTTGTGGCATATTAGCAAACTTGGGAACTGTTGAGGAAGATGAAGAAGCATAATTTGTACACTTTGGAGGAAAGCCTCTTCAAAAATACGTGGCAGGAAATCTTAAGAATTATAGTCATTTATATGTTATAGCTTGGCAATAAGTGTAAGAAAGATGTTCTGTACAGTATCTGTAACAATAAATATGTTATACAAATAGAATTTGGATTTCTCTCATACATGTGCCTGGCGATAGTCCTCTCTATCATTTTAGCAGACACAGTTAGTTGAAGTCCGCAGTGATATCTTGCAGCTGATTCATTGCTCTTATCAGACATTCATTTTATGATCCAGCTTTGTTTCTCCCCAGTTAAGCATTACTCAGTTCCAGCCACATACAAATTATGCTCAAACTTTGAACCACCTTCTTAGATTAGAATGCAAAGATTTATGTCCACACATACTTTTCCAAAGTACTTTTCAGTAATGGCAAAGGAATAAGTAAAAGCACAGAAAAGATGTCACAGTTTGCTAAAGGTTGTGGCTTAAAGGCAAAGCCGTTCTAATGGACTGTCCCCTTTCAGACACTGGAAGAGTACATGAACAAGCCTACGTTTTAACTGCACGTCTCCCTGAAGACACTGAGAGCCACCTGTTGCGGACTCGTCAAGAAGTGATGCCTTGCCCAGGTGCCTGGACAGAGCCTCCGGCACCATGCCAAAAATAACCTGAAAGGGATTTTTTGTTAACCAGCAGAAATTTAAGTTGTTTAACATAATATATTTATCATTATTACATGTCTGTACTATATTGCTTATGATTGCTTATTATGGCTCTGGATGGTCACATAACTGCTTCATAATGCAGTAGACTGAACATTTGTTTGCAGTGCATTAGCTCTGTGTAATATTTTAAGCTAATTTAAATACATTTGTTGTAACATGTTTTTGCTGCATTTGGTCCTCAACTGACAGGCTGAAAACTGTATTGTAATAATTCATGATTTAGTATGTAAAGTAGCAATACCTTTCCCTAAATATTTAGCTTTTAAAATTATATGATAGATAATTCAAGATTATGTGACCAGTCCAGAGTTTATACATAATGTTAGACATTTTTAATATACTTAATAATATAATTTCAGTCCAGATACAATGTATCTGATTTTAATGTCCTGAATTTATTTATTTGTCAGGGTTGGAGTGAAGAATAATAACCAAAGATAGTATAGGGGTGAAGTGTTTTTTGATGCCTAGGAAGCTGCTCTTGTGAGAGGTTTTGATTTTACCTTTTAATTGAATATTTTTTAAAAAGCACAGTAAGGACATGTGTTCTACAAACTCTATATCAATTAAGGGTTTTAGACATCTGGAGATACAGTGTCTAGGACTTCCTTTATTATAAAAATAGTATAATAGAGATAAATAACAATGGTAATAATAATTATCATTACTATTTTAATAACGTTTTATATTTCAAGCACTCTCAGTTGCTTGAGCGATTTTGTTCCAACTATATTTTAATGTATTTCTAAGATATTTGAAAACTTACTGTTTACTAGGTTTACTGAGAGCATTTAATACAGGGTGGGCAACAGTAGGTTTCTAGTTGTTCATATGGAAAATAATACAATCATTAATAACTAATAACACGAGAGTAAACTGTCTCATGTACCCACAACTCTAAACTCCTTTTCCCCCACCCTATATGATTGCTATACGGTGGATGCCTTTTTTCCTTTTTCTTTCTTCACCTACCCCCAAATATTTGCTGCTGACCATTGTTGTTAAAATGTCATATTCACGAACCCGGGAATGGAAGTTCTATGTCACCAGGTAGTGAGTGTGATCAGACACCGCAGGGAAGTAGCTGGTGACGTTTGTCTCACTGCCCGACTCTTGATGTCTCGCCCGCGCATGTGCAGTGTGAGTGAGTGTTGAGCTCCTGCACTGAGCTCAGCAGAGTGGGTAAGGACCTCAAGCGCCTTTACGGAGACTGTGACTTCTGTCGGGGTCTCTAGGAGATCGGATAGGGCTGACCTTTAGAGACTGTGAGGGGGGAAGGCTCGCATTGCTTTCTCTTACCAGAGAATTTAGGGACAAATGGCGAGGCAGGAGCAGAAGAATGGAAGGAAATATTGACCAGTGCCTTGATACAACCATTATGAAATGGAAAAAAACTAAGATTAGAATGTGAAGGAACTATTGGTCTTTCAGCATCTGATGTTCCCTCAATTAATCGTGTAATAACCATTACGGCACCAGGTTGGAGTTTAACTGCCATTTTTGATCACTGCCTGTGTGTTCAGTTTGTGGTCTAGCTTTTAGTTGTTGCTGTCCATATGGTGGACCTCTATTTTTTTAAAAACAGTTTTTTAAAGATGGACTTTGCACATCGTTTTCTCTGTGCCGCGTATTCTGGGGAATCCCGTTTTAGACCCTGTCTAGCTCGAGTCAGGGCCCCTCAGGCTTTGAGTCAGCATCGCCACAAAAAAATGAACAGAATCCCGGGTTGCACACCGGGGCAAATGTGAGGGGTTTGGGGACATCTTACATGGGCCTGGGTGAAGAGAATCATTGTGTTTTCTTTGTATTATATGATTATAATAAAAGTACCAAGTGAAAAAAAGATAATATTACATTTTATAAAACTTCTGAATAAAATGTTTAAAATTTTTAAGCGGAGAATTTCAGTGTGTTTTCATGAACGCGTTTTTTAAAAAATCAGATTTCTGCCCTGGCTGGTGTAGCTCAGTGGATTGATCACGGGCTGCGAACCAAAGGGTCGCTGGTTCGATTCCCAGTCAGGGCACATACGTGGGTTGTAGGCCAGGTCCCCAGTAGGGGCCACATGAGAGGCAATCACACACTGATGTTTCTCTAACTCTCTTTCTCCTTCCCTCCCCCCTTTCCTAAAAGTAAATAAACAAAATCTCTAAAAAAAAAAAATCGGGTTTCATTCTTGAAATCGCCACCCATGATTCCTGGGGAATTCCCTTTAACAAGACCTTGGTTTTCTGGGCACTTATCCTCATGGACAAACTGCACCAGTCAGTGACGGCAAATGAGGGAAATCACTGTGCTCCTGTCTCACCATTCACCCACCTGTTCTAACCTAATCTCTTTACCAAAAGCTAATGATGTAGTCATTCTTTAAAACTTACTAACTCCCTTCCTTTCATTAACTTATGTAAAGCTGGCATTTATTGTGATAAAGCGAGTGAATTTTTATAATTATATATATTTATCTTTTTAAATAGTTTGTTTTTCATTGTATTTCTTTCCATTACCATTTATCTCTCTTATACCCCCTCCCTCCTCCGACCACAGAAGCCGCCTGAGGGTTCATGATCTCCCTCTTCTCTAGCCTGAATGTTTCATTTACTTCGAATGTTACCAAGTAAATCACATGGACATCTTTCTAATAAACATCCATTTGACACACAGGACTAACGAGCATTTTAAACATTTGCAAGTATAAAAGATGAAGCAAAGTTCTCTTATAAATTATAACGATATTATCCAGTGTAGCTCATAAGGCCCTGTTACAGATGGCAAAGGCCCACGTAAGTCACCAGCCCCCATGAAAGTTCTCAATATTTCCAAAGGAAAGAGAAAAAGTGCTACTTTTGAATAACACTATTAGTAAAGAGATAGGGGACATGTCAAAGACATGGAAATAATTCCAGTCTAGAAGATGGTTCAATCATAAATGTATCATCTCAGATCACTCTATCTTCGTTAAGAACTATGCTAAGGAGAAATGCTTAGAACAATATTCTGTAAACAGCAAAACAAACTAGTTAACAAAACAGTAAATTAACACTTTGGAATAATTGTTATAGTGGAAACACTACATAAATGAATACTGATGGCACAAATTCAAGGTGGACACCTTGAGATTTAGTTAATATAGGAGTTTATCCACAAAGAACTGGGCAGGAGTAAAAGCTCATCAGCAGGCCTGAATTCCGTGTTGAGCAGTGTTATCAAAACGTCGACCCAAACAGCCCCACTGTTCGTCCTTTCTGTTTCTCCCCGTCCCCGACAAAAACAGACTGTCATTGCTCAGTACCCCAGTACGTTGTCTGATATTTTCCCAGTTTGTCAAGATTTAAAAGTTGAAAAAAATATTAGTAACCCTGTTTTTGCAAGTTATTGGAAAACAGTCACTGGCTTGCTTTTCTTACACTGCAGAGCATCTGATTGAACTTAATCCAGAATTGGAGGGACCATGTGGAAAACTGTATTACCATTTTCTGAAAAGTGAAATTAAACAAAGTTCACTACTGATGTTTATGTGGATGATAATAAGAAGCTTAAAGAAGAATTATTAGGTACAGGAGAACATCTGTGTATGTTTGAAGAAAACCTTTAATAATATTTTAAGGAATTTGATATGGAAAAAAGATTAAATAAAAAGTCATTTGCTTTTCATGGACATGGACAACAGTGTGGCGATTGTGGAGGGGGAGGGGGGTAGGTGTCGGTGGAAGAAGGTATAGGGGAGATAAATAGTAATGGGGAAAATACAGTAGAAAATAAACTTTGAAATACATAGATGATTATAAAAATTCACTTGCTTTATTAGAATGAATGCCACCTTTACATAAGTTAATGAAAGAAAGGAAGTGAGCTTTAAAGAATGACTGCATAACTATAGGTAAATAGATTAGATGATCAAAATATGGGTGAGTGGTGAGACAGAAGTGACATTAGACTTTGGCACACCAGCTGGGTGGCTCAGTTGGTTGGAGTGTTGTCTCATACACCAAAAAAGGTTGTGGGTTCCATCCACAGTCAGGGCACATACGTAGGTTGTGGTTTGGAGCCCTGGTCAATGTTTCCTTCTTTCTCCCCTTTCCTCTCTCTCTGAAAAAAAAAATCAATATAAACATATCCTTGAGTGAAGATTAAAAAAAAAGTTAGACTTTGGCTAATTATAATATTAAAAGCCAAGCTGAAATGGTAGATGGATAAATAAATAAACCAAGGCACATAATAAAAAAATGAATGAAATCAATTATGTACTACTTGGGATTAACTAATCCCATGTGATAATAGCAACTAATTTTCAACTAATAGAAAAAGTATATACAAATTGTTTTGTAACAAAACAATTTGTATATACTTTTTCTATTAGTTGAAAATTGTTTAAAATATAAGAGCATAGAGCAAATTAAGTTGAGAGAAAATTGAAATCAAAGTAAAAACCAGGTAAGTTCATTATTTTTGGAAGTGTTAACATGTGTAGACACTTCTATTCAAATCCTCTCTGCTCTCTGTGCATTGTGTACTCAAAATCATTTGAGCCAAATACATAATTGGTACATTTAAGCATTTTTCTGAGGCAGCCATCCAAATGCATCAAATATAATTTGAACTGTTGAATCAATAGAAAATAATGGCTTAATTTTCATATTCCAAATCTATATGATTTTTGGCCATCAGTTTCAGAGCAAGCAAGTGGGCCATAACCCACTGGTTGGGGTATTCTGAGCCACATAATTAAATATAATATTTACATTTGAAGCATCAAAATGGACTGGAAATTGAGGACCTTCAGACTGGTCCTGGATGTCCCACCAACAAGGTTCATGAACTTGCTCTTTGGAATGAATGGAATGTGGGAGTTAGCTGGGAACATGGAAGTGAGCTAATCTGAGCCACTCCTGGTACACAAGAGGAAAGAATAATCAGCACACTAACAATTATGCTTTGATCAGGTCCCAGTAGTGCTAATCCATTGTTTAATTAAACCTTGTCTTGATCAAAGTGTTCCCTCATGGGACTACTCGATGAGCCTGTGTACTTGTATGAAACACATGCCCAATGACATTCAAGCATGTTTTTAACCCAAATGGTACAAGTGGAGTACATTGAGTGCACTTTAAAGGAGGGGTAGTACCTTACTGAGGAGAGAGAAGTGCTACTCCTGGAATGTAGATAAAATGTGAATTACTAGGTTTTCTTGTTTAATTTTGGAGGTAGAATTTCTTACACATTTCAGAGGGAAGAATATTTTTATTTTATTTTTTTTGTGACTATTGAATCAAAGGGACTAGTATCTGGGGAAAAAAATCACAGAATTCTGTGACTACTTTCTGCATTTAGCTAATGCTTATCATTTCAACTTTGTTGGCACCTACCTATGAAATAAAACCTTCATGTTTGGTTCTGAGCCCAGGAGCCAGGGTTCAACAAAACCAAACACTGCCTGAAAAATCAGGCAGATACCAGCTGTTTATTTACCAAATCATTTGCTCTTTCCTCCAGGGCACACAGCTCAACTTCATTTCCCACTCTTTTGAAGTTTGGTTTCTTCGTGGCAGACTCATGGCCAATGGATTGTGGGTTGAAATAACAAGTTCCCAACAAAAGCAGACCTGACTCATAAACGCCCTCCCACATAACTCTCCATTCCCTCTTTCCCTGTTCCCAGCTGCAGGAAGAGACTCTGGATCCAGAGAAGCCAGAGCCATGAGATGGAAGAAACCTAAAAACGGTTGAAGAAAGACAACTAAGTAGGAAGAGCCACAGTGGACTGAAATGTGTGTCAGAAATAAGCTTCTAGTAAGCCACGGAATTCCTGAGGTTGTTTGTTATAGCAGTGAGCCTACCCTAATACTTGAAACAATTATGGGCCACCATCAGCAGGATGTGGACACATATAATCAAGTTCATTTTCAGGAAACGAAAAAACATGGCACTCTTTAGAGTTAATACAACCAATTACTTATGGGTCCCAAGCACCCACACCAGAACCTGACACACAGTAAAATAGCAAGAAATATTTGCTGAATGAAAGTTGGAGGATGAAACACTAAATTCAACTTGGCAATTAATTGGCGGCAGGAGCTCCTATGGTAACAGTAAAATGATCAAAATTCAAAGTGGTACCATAAAGATATGCGTTGTTTCTTGTGAAAGAAGAAATAAGAAAACAAGTGGGTTGGGACCAGAAGTTGAGCTACCGCATTTTCAAGCCAGGTTTGTACCCCCTAGTTAGACTGACAGGCCTCTTTGGTTAGATATCCCCTGTATCCCACAACAATCTGGTACTGGAGGAGGGAAGGGAGGAGTGTTGACACCCTCGGGGGAGCAATTCTCCGATCCCCTTAAGTGGGAAGCTGCAGCTTCCTGGTGAAGCGAACAGGCCCATGCTCCCATTTGTTAAGTTCAATGTCTAACTCCCTTTGTTTCCCTTTTCTTTATTAATAGTTAGCTAAATACCACGAATAACAATATGAAAACAAATCATGTGCATTTGTAAACAGAAATGGAAAAATACCGTTTAACGAAGCTCACTCTAGCAGAAGGTGGTATTTGCCATAGGAATGACTGACTACCAATTACGGTTCACAGGAGACCTCATTAAGACTCTACTCTAAGCGACAAGAAAGGCAGTTTCTGGGGGGGGGGGTTGTTTTGTTTTTTTAAAGTTTTATTTAGAACAGATGCATAGGTAGGGAAGGACAGATAGCAGTAAAGAAGAAAATTATATTTCATGTTGGTAAGTGTAAAGGTTCTCCATATATTTGATTCTTTCATTTCATGCTCTTGTTTATAGGTGAAAAGGTAAAACAAAAATTTGGAATGAACTACAATTGTAAAGGAGACCTGAGAGCCAAATTGAATTATTTTTTGTTGATTTTTAGAGAGATAGGAGAGAGAG